CTTCAGATGTTATACATACACAAGTGTCCTACACTAATAATACAAAGTTATTATGGCTGTGTGTACCTTGTGTGCACCGCCTAGTGGTTAAAGCACGTTATTGAATTAGTTGTGTATATGATATGTCAATGATCCTTAGAAAATCTTGAAATCTTGAAAGGGATATGCAAAATAGCCATTATATACAGTCTTTAATTAACTATTAGTAGAGAATAACGAGTAATGAATATACTTTATAGGGATCTGCAGATAAATGTTTAGTCTTCTCAAGCAGCAACTATCAAATATCTCTCCTGATTGTTGGCACTTGACAATCACCTTTCCCTGAATTTTACTCAGGTGTAACTAAAGCCTGATTTAAGGGTTGTTTATATTTCACATCATTAATCAGAATCTGCAAAGTAACTAAAATAAATGTAGTGGAGTAAAAATACCAGGTTAACCTCTGAATTGTAGTGGAGTAGAATTGCTGTTTTGTTTAGTAATGGATATTGAATATGGAATAAAGGTTTTGACAAGACCTGGTGTAACAATAATCAAAAAGGACATTAAAAGAGCTCCAGATGTCAATGATCTAAACAAAACAGCACACCTGAAATGTATTACATACTTTATTAAGGGCAGTGAATTAGTTTTTTCTGTATGTTTTTCAAATCAGTGTTATACAGTAAGTGTCATAGACAGTGTTACATTGCTATTATTATCCTTAAAATATATATAAAACAAAACCATTTATGATCTTTTTTTTTGGGTGGTTTACTAATGACAGTTAATTCTGTTTCTGCTATTGATGGTTTCATTTTTGTGAAAAATAATAAAATAATAAAATTCAATAACGTGCTTTAACCACTAGATGTGCCTTTCTATCAGCTGTGCACCGTTATGGTGTAAATACAGCCTATCTACCAATTGGATCAAATATAAAAGTCAGCCGAATTAGTATTGATACTGCAAGGAGACGTATTGTGTGAAAAGAAATGTAAGATGTTGTTTAATTGCTGATATATTTATGATCCACGTCACGTTTTCAGTTTTGGCGGCAGTGCTTCCTGTTTGTCCAGAAGTCTTCTCATCAGGGCTCTATAAATACAGAACTACGGCAGATATGTCATATTTAATGCAGCCAAACCGTGTATTACAATGCCGTTATGTGATGACCTCCAAAGAGAAAAGCAAGCAAATTCGGAATAAAGTATTATTTTATTTTCTTTAAATGTTTTCGGATTTCACATCAACAGGAGTCCGGTTAACTAAAATGTCCGTGCGGAACAATACCCCCAACCCATAGATCCGTGGGTGAATAATGTCAATCACCACATTACACACATTCCTTCACATTTACATTTTAATTTACATTAAAGTATTTCGTGAGGCTGTCTAAAATGTTTTTAAATATAATTAGGGTTGTAGTTGAAGAGTTTGTAAATTGCGTTGCCTGGCAACGCAATTGCACAACGTCACGTCCGTTAATTCCACATCCTCACCTCCACACACATGGATTAACATCGATTTAATACATTAATGTAGCCTTTGTTTCTGCTAAAAGAGGTGTCGACCAGCTAGGGAAACAAGAAAATCGGCGAAATCAAGTGTGATGATTAAAAAATAAATTAAAAACATCTCATTTTGACAATAAAAACCGACCAATAGGCGCGGTAGACCATTTGCTAGGCACTTCCGGGTATTTCTCCACTGGTTGGGCCATGTTAACAATACCGTGTAACTGTCACGTTTGAAGGGACGAAACCGTGACATATTCACGTCTCCCAGCATGGTAGATCGTCACATGTTCACGTCTTGCCGTGATACCGGGTTGAATACAACAGCACAGTTTGTGCAGAATATCAGTATGAGAAAACGACTCCCTCTGTCCTTAGATTCCTACGTATGCAGCTTCAATGTGTGAATAGTGTAACTGCACTTGTGACCCCGTTTGGATCGACAACTCACTGTGGCTCATACTCTCTCAATGAGAAGTGCTCACAAAATGTGCCATAAATTGATTTAACGTTAAACAAGTTTTGATCAGGACCCTTAAAGGTCCCCTATACTATTTTTCAAGAATATATAATACAGGGATGCAAACTTGTCACCTTTCGGCGAAATTTGCCGTTTTGAATCCAAAATAGGTCGTTTGTGTGATTCATGTAGATCTGCAATAAAAATATTTTTGGGGTATGGGGGGGGTCTGGGACCCGGAGTAATCTGCGGCCGCGAGCTGTTATGTGCCATCATGACACGCATGGTGTTCTTTTTTTATATATATTATAATGCAGCGCGAGCTGTGTGCTCGAGTCTTCCTGCCTGTCGGCTCTGCTCATGGATGTATAATAAGGCTCTGCTGCTCCGCGATGATGGTCTACATTACCTACGGGTGCGTTCGTTAATATTAACTGTGCGGTCCGGAGTCACTGTGGCACTGACTGGACCGCTGGTGAACAGCTGTTAGAACGGGCCGTTCAGGTGTTCAGAGCAGAGCTCCCTGTCGGAGCGGCAGAGCGTGATGTGCACTGAAAAGTTTTTCTGTCGCAATATTATCGTTGAACTAGCTAACTAGCATACATTGTCACTATCTGCTAACGTTAGCTTTAGCCTTCGTTTTCTAATAGTTTTTTTCATAGGCTATAAACGGAGGTGGTATAAGTATAGATCTTGTACTTGAGTAAAAGTAGAAGCACTCAGATCTTGTACTTGATTAAAAGTAGAAGTACTCAGATATTGTACTAGAGTAAAAGTAGAAGTACTCAGATCTTGTACTTGAGTAAAAGTAGAAGTACTCAGATCTTGTACTTGAGTAAAAGTAGAAGTACTCAGGTTTGAGTAAAAGTAGAAGTACCAGAGTGTAGGAACAATCCTGCAATCAAAATGTTCCTCAAATAAAAGTACAAAAGTATTATCATCAAAATATAGTTAAAGTAGCGACAGTAAAAGTAGAAGTACTCAGATCTTGTACTTGAGTAAAAGTAGAAGTACTCAGGTCTTGTACTTGAGTAAAAGTAGAAGTACCAGAGTGTAGGAATACTCTGTTACAGTAAAAGTACTGCATTCAAACTGTTCCTCAAGTAAAAGTATAAAAGTATTATCATTAAAATATAGTTAAAGTAGCGACAGTAAAAGTAGTAATTGTCAGAATAATATATATGATATGTTTTATAATGATTGATCATGAAAGTGTTCTCAAAGCTGGTAAAGGTGCAGCTAGTTTGAATGACTTTGTATACTGCAGGGTAGCTTGTGGATTTACTCCAGGTGGAACTCAAGTCTGATTTAACACTTGATTATATTTCACATCATTCATCCACATCTGTAAAGTACCTAAAGGTATTAAATACATGTAGTGGAGTCAAAGTACACCATTTACCTCTGAACTGTAGAGGAGAAGAAGAACAAAGTAGCAAAACATTGAAATACTTAAATAAAGTACAAGTATCTCAAAATTGTACCCAAGTATAGTACTTGAGTTTATGAACTTAGTTACTTTACACCACTGGCTATTCAGATAGAAAGACTAAGCCTTGCACAGAGGCATGAAAATACATTTTCAAAATGCTCAACAGTCCTGCCAAAATTATAAACTGACTGCTACACAATTAAAATAAATGATTTTATATATTTCTATTAGATGTGACTCTTTGGCGTTTCTGTTATTAACACTGCTGCTTTAGTTGTCACCTTTTTCATACCTGATGAGTTTGCATCCCTGATAATAGGTCTCAGATATATACAAAATATGTCTCTGAAGTGTTTGGCTCAAAATACCAAACAGATCATGCATTGTAGCATCCCATAAACCCCTCAGTTTCAGCTCTGTTTCAAAAGTGCTGATGCTGTGTCCTTAGCTTTAAATGCTAATGAGCTGCTGCTGGCCACGCCCCTCTGAGAGATGATTGGTTTAAAAATACACAATGGTGATCTAGGAGGAGATTCAGGTGATAAGGTGGGCGTGGGTTACCTTGGTTGGTTATTGGCTAATGGTTGCACAACCCAAAAAACATTGTGACATCATAAACTGGCCAAAATCTGATCAGCTCATTTTCAGAAAGGTTTTTATATAAATGGATCAGGACAAGAAGTGAGCGAATCTTTTATCCTGAAACGTTCAGAATCTCTTTACACAGAGGGGACACATGTTGATGTGTAAAATACATGAAAAAGATTTTGCGTAATAGGTGACCTTTAATAATACATCGTTGCTATCTAACCCAATTAATGTAGTGGTTTTCTTCTTCTTTTCTTCTTCAAAAGTTGCCTAGCACAGCATTAAAGAAATATGGAATTAAAACAACAAACAGTTTATATTGTCCTAGTGCACTCAATATCAATACGCTTTTTGTGCTTTTTGGAATACTGCTACAGTGACGCAGCTGCATTTGTTTTGAGAAAATGAATCACAGATGTCATGAACATCCTTACATGCATCTCTCAAAGTTTCAGGTGTTACAGATTTAATTCCATATTCATTAACTTGGCTGTTGGTGCAACACAATTAGAGGCCTCGTGAATCCAGGACTAATCCGTAACACTTGTAGGACATGAATCACAGTAGCAGAAGATAGGAATAAATTAGCTGCAATAAAAAGGGACTAATACCCCGTATTACTTCAAGCTTAAAGTCTCCCCTTCCTTCAATACATGCGACCACTTCTACCTTGGGAGGCTGATATTCTCAAGCCTCTCTGACTAATTATTTCTGGTCTATGTGGGATGAGAAGCAGACATGGTATCACACTCATATTATGGATTACAAAAAAGAAAGAAGAAGACCACTATGATTCATGTGCAAGAGAGTATTTTTCACTTTGGAAGGTGAAAGTGAAAGTCATGTTTCTGGGCTGCAGGTTTCAGTGGGACATTTTCTTCACTGCAGCCTGTCTGACACTTTCTCCACTTCCCACATTTTTACAGAGCTTACCCACAGTCTATTCCTCTGGCTCCTGCGGCCCATGTGTCTCTCCATTTTTAGGAGTGACTTACTGATGAATTTCATGTTCTTCCCACAGGAGTAAGAGAGGAAGCAATGGGCTGGACTATGACTCTAAAAGATGACTTTGGGGTCATTTCCTGGACACGGCGAGCTGGGAACTGCCTCGGCTTCCTTCTCCTCTTCTCCCTCGTTTCCATTTCAGTCCAGTCAGACATTGTGTTTCCTAAGGACCGTCATTTCTCATGGAAAGCAGGTAAAATGTCTAATTCTTCTTCTTCTTCTTTGTGTAAATCCACCCCCCCCCCCCCCTTTGGAATAGTCCAATACAAACATCCAGGTATTTCATCACTGAAGCAATATCATCGAATGTGCTTACTTATAATTCCACACATTGAGTTATACAACTACACTTAGTTTGTCATTTGCCAAGGTTGCTCCAATGCTCTGCAAAATACTTTTACCTTTATATAAGACACCCTCTCTGAACCTGGTAAGGTTCACAGAGTTTATCTGGAAATGCAGCACATTGGATATGCTATACACACTAAGACTCAGTCTTTATTTCTCATTATAGGAGACAAATCCAGTCATTTTTAGTGCAACCACTTTTGCGGGCAAAGTAATCCTCCTCTTTCTGATCCACATTGTTGGGGGGCATACACTTTAGGATGCTAGTGGACATCATCATGCCAGAAGGCCATACGCCTGGACAGTTAGCATATTAATACCTTCTTTCTGACCGACTATCCATCTCCAGCCCCGTGGTGACAAGCGAGGCTTCGATTGTTAACATAATGATGTGTGTGCTGCAGTTAATGAGACATTGTGACCTGGTAAATAATAATGTCATACAATACAAAACAGCATGCTGCACAGTACATGTATTTTGTTGTAAATGTTGAGTCTAAAAATATTGATTTGAATGTGCTTCTTATGTTTCAAACGCTTTTGTGAGCATCTCTGCAATGTATTATTCACAAACTTTAGCATGTATCTGATAGGATCACGTTTCGATAACAGAATTGAAAGCTGATGACCTCCTTACTCCCTTTTTAAAGATATTTGAGGTAATCTCACGATTCATCCTTCACATGATTAACAAATTCAATTGAAAACGGATTTCCGAAAGCAGCTCTAAGAGGGAAACTTCCCACACAACCGCCCCACTTGCTGTGCGATTAGCACTTTCATTTCTCACTCTGTGGTTGGGTAATGACACTGCCCAAGTGATAAAGAGATTGATTAATTCCACTTGAAACAGCGTATGTTCAAAAAGGATGTTACCGGAACACCAAGAGTGAGGATTTGACATCCTTGCAGGGCTAAGAAGGCTTATGGGTTGTTACTTGACTCGAAATAAAACCACTTTCAGAAGGAAATCTCCAACCTAACATCTTTGAATATATTCAGTCATCCATCTCCTTATGACTGTTTGACTCCAGGGGAAACTGAGGGACTGTATCTTCCAACAACAGACACTTCTATTGAAGAAGTTGCACAATAAAAGGTGTTGTGTTGCAGAACGAGTACGTATTTGGTATATTGTAAATGAGCAAACATTCCTCGGAGTCATGTGAGTCTCACTGTTTCTGCGGCAGCTCCAGGCTTTATATCACATACAGTACTACGTTTATGTTGGCAAATTATTTAACTTTCCCATCACTACCATAGACATAGTCTTTGAATTCTTAAAATGGCTGACAAGCTTCGTTTTTAATTTTGGTCTTGTCAACGTAGAAAAGATGTGCTCTAAATTATGCACAGCCAACCTATTGTGTGTTTGGTGTGTATATCTAGGCCAGCAGCATTGTGGGGTAAATCTTTTGTGTGAGGCAGCTCCCAGAGCTGTGGCTAAGCTGGGAGTCTCTGGCTGAAAAAGAAAACTGGAGCCTTTTAAGCCTGACCTTCATCCGCGTCTTGGAGAGCAGAATGTAGCGCTGAAACACTGCTGCTAATGGGAATATTATTTAACTCTTTAAAGGGACATTTCAAAGACGACCGCTTTAAACAGCCATACTTGGCATTTTAACAGTGAGGTATACATGTATCAATTACTCACACTGCACTGAGAGGCAGTCCTCCAGAATAGATCCTGAGACGGTAATGGAGGTAAAACCGCCATATAATCATGTAAGGCTTTTTACTTCAACTACATTAGGTAGCACACCATTTTACATATCTCTGTGTGTGAGAAGAATTCTATAGGATATAGACATAAGATAAGGACTTGATGTTGTCGCTGCTTATTAAATCCACAACACATCAGCGCTGTCTTCTGGTAAAGCACAGTGTGATTTGCATTGATCTAGTGTTTCTGTTCTAGTTGTTGCTCTGCTGTCCATTGCACATAACTAGTTTAAGTTTTTGGGGAGAATTGATTTAAGAATATAACGGCAGGCGAGTGAAAATGTGCACACTGTATGTTTTTCCTTTTTAAATGTTTTTAAAATGTAAGGGGTCATATACAGCCTCAGAATGCTGATATCCTCCACAACAGAGCGTTAAAATTGGATTTATTTTTGACTTTCATATACATCTGCATTTAAACACAGCAGCAAGCCATGGTGCTCATCCAGAGTCAGCTTAAAGGCCCTGACACACCAGGCAGTCACCAGAGAACTCGCCGACACCAAACACCGACAGTTCCATCGACGAGTTCTCCTGCGTCTTGGCCGTGTGTCGCACTGGAACACACCGCAAAGACTTCAGCCGAGCACGTACGAACTGCGCATGCGTGAGTGGCAATAACTCTCCTTACCAGCAGGCGGCGGTAGTGTGTATTCGTCATTCAAAATAGGCAACAACCGGAAGACAGAGAAGAAGAACAGACTGATATAAACAAACAAATAGCGTGTGCGTTCCATTTTCACTCTCGTCCATCGAAAACATGTTTTAGAATATAAAAATCTCAATGTCGAGGACGCTTCCCTGGTAGGACATGTCTTCGGAGTCAGGGGGTGTTTCTCAATGTCGAGGAAGGCTCCTCCAGAGCCACTATTTCAAGGATGCTACGTCATCGAGTCCCACCGAAGGACTGTTCCAATGTCCAGGATCCTTGGAATTCTATCGAGGCCGGCGTCCTTCGTTGCAGGAAATTTCGAGGCTCACATATGGTCTTAAAATCCCCACAATGCTTTGCGCACGGACCAATTTCCAAAATCTTTTGCGGAAAATGTAAGACGGGGCCTCTCATATGACGCACACGTGCACACCTGTTAGCCTGTTCCGACCATTCTCGTTTTCCGAGGCTAGGAAGGATTCTGGCCTCGCTTCTGAAGGACCTGACTCGGAAGACATGTCCTACCAAGGAAGCGTCCTCGACATTGAGAAACACCCAGGTCCTTCAGAAGCGAGGCAAGAATCCTTCCTAGCCTCGGAAAACAAAGAATGGTGGAACAGGCTAACAGGTGTGCAGGTGTGCGTCATATGCGAGGCCCCGCCTTAAATGGAGCACGATTTCCGCCAAAGATTTTGGAAATTGGTCCGTGCACAAAGAATTGTGGGGATTTTAAGACCGCGGAGGATACACATGTGACGCCTCGAAATTTCCCGCAACGAAGGACGCCGGCCTCGGTAGAATTCCAAGGATCCTGGACATTGGAACAGTCCTTCGGCGGGACTCGATGACGTAGCATCCTTGAAATAGTGGCTCTGGAGCAGCCTTCCTCGACATTGAGAAACACCCTTAGTCGTCTGAAGAAGTCAAATCCCCTCTCTGGTTTTCATTTGGCATCTTTGAAATGCAGAAAGTCTTTAAATCGCTGAGGTTCACCGATCAGAAGGTATTTGTGTTTTTCACAGCTTAGTTTAACAAACAGGAAAATAGCTGCTTTATTCTTAGATACATCCCAAATGGGGCTGTATTGTGCATCAAAGCTTCTCGTTGTTAAAAAAGAACAAAAACACCGTAGGGAATCCAACTAGTTCAAGATAGTGAGGTATCTGTTTCCCTGAGAAGAAACTTTTGATATTCTACATTCTTTCAAAAATACATTTGAAAGTGTGTACAGTTTTAAGACTGCAGTGAACACTTTGATTAGAAGAAAGTATTTGTATTTTTTAAGTATTTCAAGATTCACTTACCTGTTTCATTCATATTTCTTCCGCTTTTAATCATAAAAATGATATCTGTGTCGTTTTCATAAATCCTGCCAGTGTTCCCTTGAGGGTTGAATAATTAAAGCCGGCTAATGTTCATCGAAATTATGTGGGAACTTTGAGCTGAGGGGCAATGATTTTCAAAAGATTGAGAAATCAATAAAGGTTTTTCTTAATGAGAGGGATCTCTCTCAGACCCTGATGGATTATTCCAAGAGTTTACAGGGCTGGAGCTCCTGTCTTTCCAGGGGCCTTGTGACTGCAAGAAGAACCCATATGTGGGGTGATACAGTCAGGCAACATTTACATTTCATTTCAGTCTCTGAGTGTATTTCACCACACAGTTGCACCATCAAAGCTGAAATCAAACATCACTGCCGCAGTCAGCTTCTGTTGTTTCTGAAAAAATAAGCTCAAAAGCGGCAGTGTGCTAGAAACCGCTCCACCAGGATTTCACATTTAACCAAATTGCACTGAATAATTTACCGAGGGCTTTTTCACTTTAGCAGTGACATTGGAATAAAAACACATTAGACAAATGCATTTCTTTAGCCTGTTGCAAGCGTACAATATCTCGTTACACTTATACTATCTTCTTTTTGCAGCAAAGCGCCCTGTCAGCTGTTACTTTCACAGTCCATATTGTACCTTGTGGATGATAAAATGGTTTTATAAAATGAGTCAAGCTTGTTTTTGATGTTGTTGCTGGAGGAACAATCCACAGATCAAACAGGTTATATGCTCTTGGGAGCCTTGTTATGCTCAGTAAATGCCATGTACGAAAATGGCCAGGAGATGCGTTCTTTTGACATTTGAGACTTTGAATTGCACCAGAGAATATACAGATATATACTGACGCATCATGTAGCCCGTGCTATTTGTATAGGGACCTCTAACAGAGCTTATCAGCTGTAAATGACATGCTGAGAAAACAGGTTATTGTAGGGAATTGGAGATTCTATTTTACATGCATTGACATAATATGATACTCAGGTGGAGCTGAATTCAAATTGAATATGGAAACCAAATACAAGCACATGGTTTTTCCTTACGACCTGATTGGACTGTTTGGACTGTGAACACTAACTCCTTTCATTTACATTTTAGTCTAATTTTGCATTAAGCTATTTTTACAGCTATGAAGATGTAGCACTA